TAAAATGAGTATATCTTGTATCAAATCAACGAATCACCATTTATAACATACCGTTATATAGACCAACAAACTGAATAATGTTAGGATGAGTGTTTACTAGCTTGTGGTGTTTTATCTAACGTGTGTAATGTTTTGCATCAAAATTGATTCACGCATAACATGAATATGAATCACATAATAATAACAGCTAGAAATTAGTAGCAACCTCCTTGACGAAATGCCGATGCCAATCTTCTTCACGATTACGTGTATTGTTTACATTAGGATACAGCATCTTCACCGCAACAGTAATGCCAGAAATATAGTGTTCCTGATCCAAAATTGTCCTGACGATATTCCCAAAATGACTTTCTTTTTTTATTGTCGCTTTATAAACGACTCCGTATGATCCATGACCAATATGTAGAGGGTCTAATTCGATATCACTTTCTGCGCAGCAATGAATATAACCTTCTTGAAGGCTGTTGTCGAACCATTCTTCATACAAATCCTTAGTTGTTTGAGACATTGTTAGAAGAGATGTAATGACGGATAAGCGGAGTCTTATGTATGTAATACATTTTGTAAGATGCAACGTCGTGCATGACCTTATTGGATAGTTGTGAACAATCAACCATTAGATGATCGTTCTTTTTATGTACGTTAACGATCTTAGAATCGAGCGTTTCAACCGCTCCGCAAAATAACAATTAAGCTGTTTGGGTACATTTCAGTTTTTCGGCAATACTTTCCCGACTGCAACATGGTTTCCTGTGAAAGTTTCAAATGGCTTGTGTCTGTGAGTCAGCCTATTCATCAATTCATCATACTTTCTTCGGTATTATAGCTTATTGTTAACGTGTCACCCGGGATTGTAATACCTCACGCCGGGGGGTAGTTCTTGTGTAATGCAAAGTACGACGATTAGCATTACCATTCTCCTTGTAGATCTAATATATACAGTTTAAACCAGCAGCTGATTAAACCCGTCTCGGGTTTAACCGGCCGCCTCACGACTAACCAAAATTCTTAAACTGGCCAATTAATAGTATCTCTGGTTACAATTTTTTGGTTACACTAGATGCATAGTATGTAAATCTATATTAGAAAGGATGCCATATACAATATTATGGTTGCAGGCGAGGTTGCCAAAAATACCATATGAAACTGCGTCAACAATATTCAAATCAACAATTGAGTTCTCAACAACAGCCTGACAATTTTCCTACGGGTAAAAACGACATATGTAGATTGCGTCAATTATTGCGTTAAAACCCTCCAACAAGGGATTTTAGAATACTAATACTAATAACGAAGTTTCCATAGCCGTGTTTTATTTTATGCCATTATTAATAAAAATGTTCGATGCTTACATGATAATGATTATAGAAGTCATATGATTTACTGATTAAACTGATATTAATATTAATATGTGAATACTAATACTGGTTTATCCAAACACCGGTCTTTGGCTAAACCGGCCAAAAATCAGCAAACCAGGTCCGTCGGTTTAAACGACTTTTTACCTGTACAGTCAAACCTTGGGGAAACCCTTTCCTTTTATATCTCGCTTTTGCGAGTTATCGGGTTTGCGCAGTATCGGTTTTACCGTGCTTATAGCATATGGCTTGTGTAATTCGACATAAACACGTCATTTTGATAAAATTATTCAGTGTCGAGTGAAGACGCTTATTTGCTGTTTAGACAATATTAACATGCCTCATGCACATGCTTATTTCGAATTGGGTCAAATTGCGATGTAGAAAAAAGTATTTTTGAAAAATTAGTGTAATAAAAATATGAAGTCATTATGTATCTACTAAAATCAAGTCTTGCACGTCTTAATAACAGACTAGCTATATAAATATTATAATTATTAATACTAGTTTAGCAGTATGTAGAAATGTAACTGAACACAACTACGACACTTGACCCACAATTTATCACGTAAATCAGAATTACATATTGTAATTACACACGGCAAGCAATGCGATACGGTATACCTTTACTTTGTTTTCTAAAGCATTATACAGTTAACGTACAAACTAGTTAATATATCTTTACGCGCTTCAACAGCACAAATCCGTGACCTGAAACAGAGAATTTACATAACACTTTATTTCACAAAAATTACGTTATGCCAATTAATTACGTTAAATTTATCTCTGGAATTATCTGTATTAATGTTGACCCATTTCGGATCCTGAAACGTGCCGGTCTATTTATTTTTTTACTTAATGCTTCAATTATCGTATTATGTTCTGACCTATATTATATCAAAAATGCCATGGTTGTTAACATATTCGATTATATCAATTATAATAACGTTAATAATATGACAGCCAAGTAGTTCTTAATAAAGCACAAGAAATAATTAAATCATTAAACATTTTATGTTAATATATTAATTTTGACAGTGTTAGATGAAAAAGCTGGGACTTTGCTTGTGATATTAAAAAATTCTATCGACAAAAAGGTTTCTCACATGTAAGGTGATAATTGTTTTGGATAGAGGGTGGTATAAACTGGGCTGTAACTCGGTACTAAATATTCTTTATCGAGCGACCGACTTGGAAATAAAATATAGCGAACTAAACGATATTCCAGAATGGTTGTTTTATTGACAACTGCAATAGCGGGATGCACGGCATGGGAAATGGAATTATTGCTAAGAGTTTTAATACAAAGCGTAGTCCAAATAACGCAATTATTTAGTGAATAGCAAGCATGCTTTCCTTATTATTATTCGCGCAAATGTGACGCAAACGATGCGATTCAGAACAATTGGTGTAAATAGCTGGTAAGTTTTGGAAATAGCGAAAAAATAACAAATAAATGCATTGTCACTCAACTGATTCCTGTGTCAACATTATTCTCTGCCCTTTGCTTTATTCAAAATTACAATTAGTATAACGACTTATGTCTGTTTCTTATTGAGAGGTGTCTGCAGTCAAAACTTTTAGTTGCGGCAAACGACTCTAATCTTGCAAAAATTTGTTGTTTGTATTGAATAACACAACTTTTAAGCAGACCAAGTTGGTTGTTAAATCTATAAGTACGAAGTCAAAAATCTATCATAAAAAATCAGTACAATATTGGCATCTCAAAATTTTGTTTGGTTGTTAAGATTAAAATAAATTAGAAGATGCATGTATAAAAGCCAAAATAGTACTTTTGGTGTAATTTGGCTACTACTGGTTCTATTACAATAAACACATCATTAGTCTGCAACGGACAACGTATGTATGATGAATAATTCAAAAAGTTTGGTAACAGAACAGTACACTATATAACAATTTAATTTGTGGTCGAAAAAGTTACTTTAATTAAATGATCGTATACTTATTAGTTTACACAATACGATGTCGTACATTCATGTCATTTAAACTCTTTAAGCTTCAAGGCAACTGCTTTTTTGCAATAACTCGTTCATCGTGTCTATTTATTGAAGTATATACATAAATCATGTACCAATTCGAAATAGAAAACTGTTATTCAACTGTCATTGCCACGCTCATTTTTGGACTTGACACTGAAGAAGACTGCAATGAGATATAATGTCAAAATTTTCTATGCATTGCATTGTTTAACGTATTATTAACACCGAAATTAACAGTTTTTACCAATAATTGCCATAATATGACGGTAATTGGTTTTTTTTCCCAAACACCAGAATTGTGCTACACGCCACTATCTGCCGCAGATAGTTTTTCAACATATTTAGATATGTAAAACTCAATCTATTTAATCAGTATCATTACTAAACGCATTAATACTATAGATGTTGAACACTAGTTGCAGTCTCAAAAATAAATCCTATCTTTAATCACCCTACGCATTACAACACAAAAATGAAGGTATACTAATTGACAACTTTCATGTCATGCAATAAATCTGCATAAATACAATTAAATTCGAAAGCGTAAGATTTTATTTTCACAGAGTTCAACCTACAGTCTTTTTTTATAATATGTTCGTGCTCTGTCTTCTTTATTTTGTCAATAATTGCTACAAGCGCAAATTTGCAGTTTGTAGTACTTGTTAACGAATCATCAAAGATATTAGTGAATAGTGAATACACTGACGTAAGTCTGAATTTGACATTCAGTGTTATATTAAACAGGATGGTATATTATCTTATTGTCATTCCTAATTCGAAAACTTGGCGACCGCTTAGTCCACTTGAACATCCTATTTTATCACCTACGTACGTATCTTGTTTTGTAGTTAATAAATTTTGAGGCGCAATACGTGTAATAATTTACGTCATTGGATTTATCGGGTTTCTGCTATACGATCCTTGTTTGATATGCACCAATAAAATATTTCATAGTAGTCATGTCCCATGCGTTATCCCTTTTCACAACCTGTACCCACAAAGGGCCTTTGCTACACACCCGAAACTCTTAACCCCTAGTCCCATGGCTGGCCACCACCCAAACGTTCTAATAGCGCTCATAACATGAGCTAAATTCTCTCCCCGCTATGTATTTATAGTTGAATAAAAGCAGCATAGAGTGATACTTTTACGAGCACCTTACTCGCAATGGTCCTTTTTGTCCATATGAAAGAAAACCAAAATGGTAATAAAACGTCGCATCATTCATATGATGAGTGACGGATAGAATATAAAGAGTTAGCGTTAGTCGTACAGCCGCTTCAAATCATGTGATACAGGTACTTATCATTAATATTAACGTTAATTATATTTCAAGCGACCTGCATTGTACAGGAAATAACACGACTCTCACGTGTATAATATAAAAAAAAGTAAGAGAAACAAACGAACACACGTCATACATAAACCACAATAGTGGAACATACTCACCGCATACTCCCTCAAACAAATCATTCAAATAAGATAAAGTACAAATACAGAGTATGAGTGAGAATGTCTGTTTATTTGATATAGAAAAAACATGTTAAAAAAGTCTAGTCACATATGCACTATTGAAAATAACGTATAGACACGTGAGCAATCATGGGGCGCGTCCACGATTATGACGTGACGGAATTATGTTCTAGAAACTCTTCTTGTGAATGATATCAGGATCTTCCTGGTATTCTTCAGCCGAAACCCACATCTACAATATCGCGCGAATTGAAATTAATGCAAAATCTCATAATAGACTTTTAAACACACTTGTGACATTACATACCTTCTTGAATGTACTCAAGGCAGCCAATATAGATCCACCAATCCATGTGCTATATTTTCTCTCGGGTGGAGCATAAATCTTAATCTTGATATCTTTAACCGCCAACTTTCTTATTTCATTCAACAATCTGTTACCGAAATCTAATTCGAGAAACAATAAACATACCCAATGTCATATATAGCGAAGAAACAAAACAATCTTCATAATATATCGTTCTTGCACATCCACAACTCGTATCATTCACTTGCTAACCTTTAAAGAGTGTCGATCCGCCCGATAACACCACGTTCGCATATAGAGCCTTTCGTAAATCTAGGTCTGCTCTGTTGATCGAATCGGCAACCACTTGATGAATACCCGCATATTCTTGTCCGATTAATTCTGGGTTAAACAAAATCTCGGGGGCTCTGAATCTTTCTGTTCCCAACTACATACGATAAATGCATGACGCAAAACAGTATTATTACCAAGCCAAAAGCCATGACATTAGAATCAAAAGTAGCATGAAATTACCTTGACAACGTTACCATCAGGAAGAACAAAGTCATCACACTTGCCGCCGGTATCTTTTTCTTCTTTTGTTGGGTTTATTGCAACGTAGCACATTTTCTCCTTAATCATACGGACCACTTCTTTTTCTGCTGTAGTGTGGAAATGATATCCGCCTTTGCGGAGGAGAAGCTGAAGATGCTCTGTTACATCACTATCAATGAAAGAGTAAGCACGCAAGCGTTATAAACGTATCATTAAAAAGACATGCTGTTTACATGCACTGTAATCTGTAAACTCTAATTACCGTCCAGCAATGTCTACTCGTCTCATAGCATGGGGAATAGCGAATCCTTCAAAGACAGGAACTGCATGTGTGACTCCATCACCAGAATCCAGTACAATACCGGTTGTTCTTCCTGATGAATAACTGAATGGGGACGGACAGAATTAGTCACGGCAATAAAGATATAAGGTTATAAACTGCATTGCATTGAATACTCACAGACTCAGTACAGCCTGGATCGATGTGAATAAAGCTGGTACATTGAACGTCTCGAAAAAGATTTGAGCGGCTTGCTCTCGATTAGCTCTTGGATTGAGAGGAGCCTCAGTCAATAATACTGGATGCTAAAAGAAGGGATCATAATTAAATTTAATTTTCGAATACGATCACATTTTCATTGGATAAACACTCGCTTGAAATTTACCTCCTCTGACGCGGTCTTTAATTCTTCTTCATAAATATACTTCCATATGTGTTCCATATCATCCCAATCCGTGACAATTCCATGTTCAACTGGATATTTTATTTTCAACAAACCTCTCAATTCTTGTGCTTTTTTTCCTATGAAAACGTCTCCTTCGACAGCACCAGCCATGATACGAACATGCTTGGGCCTACCAACACTAAAAAAATCGCCCCCATCACACATTACGTTAAAACCATTGTTTCATGTCATTTTCTTTCTTTTGCGTTCTCCCACTTTTTTTCTTTTCGCAAAAAAAGTAAAAACTCACAATGACGGGAAAAAGCATTTGGGCAGATCGTCTCCAGCAAACCCAGATTTTATTACACCGGACCCCTAAAGAAAACCATTATCGCTATCAATTCATATACGACTCGTAGCAGTTTCATGTGTTTATATGCGACTTTTTTTGTTCAACGTATAAGTAAAATGGACTTACATTGTCGATAACGACGGGTTGGTTAGTCAAGACGTCCTCATATTCCTCCATGCCTGCTTGCTAGCGTATCGTTGTTTAATGTCAAAGCAAATTACCAGTTGAATCTATTGCCGCCGTTATGCGGGAGAGAATTAAGGCTATTTGGCGGGCTTTTCGAGCAATATCATTGATTGAATCAGGAAGTAATCAGGGGATATTGTAACCCATATACTCCGATCAGTGGTGTGAAACGCACATGCGAGTCCTTGTCGTTCAAAGACAAATACGTCACGAACAATCACGTGAAGAAACTAGTAACGCTTTTGCTGAGCCACCACGCAAAAATCTCTCCCGGCATCCATCCAAAAGTCACGCCACACGCCCAAACACAAAAACAGCCCATCATTGCCCACGGGATTTTTTTATCCATCTTTCCAAAACGCTAAATGTGCTGATTTTTCTTTCTCACCGAAAAACTCGAGTCAACTTTTCTCCTCAATTTCGTAATGACAACAAGAACCACTCCTTCTCCACTCAAACCATGGGAAAGAGCAAACGGCGCTCCAATCTCAACAATAAATAATAACCCTGCGGCTACTAATGCAGCTGCGACACCAGTCACATCTACACAAACTTCGACACAAAATTCGAGAACCGGAACAATTAACGACGGTGGAGCACCTGCTATACCACCCAGGCCTAGCTCCAGTACAACGGCATACGCTAATCGAGGTAAAAGCAAAAAAGATGACTATCGTTTCTGGCGTTTCTAACGTCATAATCTAGATCTATACAATAACGTGCTTGATAGATCAACGTTTACATACCCCGAAATCTAATCCAGATTCCTTTATACGTTAGGTACCGGATATAGTACTACTGGTTACGGTACTGGCGGTTACGCTTCTGGTTACAATACTGGCTACGGCGCGGGCTACGGCACCGGCTACGGCACGGGCTATGGTACAGCATACTCTTCACCATATTCAAGCAGCTACAGCTCATACACAGGCTACTCACCTTATAATCGTTACGGAAGTTATTCGAGTTACTCCTCTCCGTACAGCCGCTACGGCTATGGCTCTTACGGCTCGTACAATTCATACGGAGCATACGGTTCGCCCTACAATCGATATGGTTACAACGGTCCCATGGTTCCCGGTGGTCCCGAAGAGCTATCTCTGACACAGAGAATGGAAGCCAGCACTGCCGCTGGATTTCACATGATTGAATCAATAGTAAACGCTTTTGGCGGATTTGCACAGATGTTGGAATCGACTTTTTTCGCGACGCATTCGTCGTTCATGGCAATGGTTGGCGTAGTAGAACAATTTGGAAATTTGAGAAATTATCTAGGCCAAGTGCTTAGTATATTTGCATTGATTCGATGGATAAGAAGATTATATTATAAATTAACCGGAAGACAACAGCCGGTCAATGCAAACGAATTGAATTCGGCCAATTTCCAACAATTCCAGCAACAGCGTCAATACTCAAGGCGACCTTTGGTCTTGTTCGTGTTGGCTGTGTTTGGCATACCTTACTTGATGCACAGGCTCATTCAAATAGTTTCTGACCGCCAGAGACAAACTGGCAGTTCTCAACTTCCGGATGTGACTGCACCGCTAATGCCTGGAGATCAAACTAGAGTCTCGGCTCAAAATTTAGAGTTTTGTAGAGCCATGTATGATTTCAAAGGCGAGGCACCTGGCGAACTATCATTTAAAAGAGGCGATCTTGTGGCGATATTAAATAAATTCGATGCGGGTGGTCTTCCATCACCATGGTGGTTGGGTCGATTACGGAGCGGTGAACAGGGAGTATTTCCTTCTAATTATGTAGAAATTATTAACAAGGGTGGTGGTAATCCCGAAGCAAGAGAGAAACAAGATGAACAAAAGGCAGATATCAATGTTGATGAGTTTGAGAGGAAATTACGTGAAGTGTAATTATAAATAAATAATATTACCAATTATCATAGAAGCAATTTGTGTGGGGGAAAGGGAACAAACAAAAAATTAATATCTAAATTTCAGTAAATAAAGACTTTTGTGTTTTCATATTGCCAATAAAAAAAAACTCATGTCACCGAAATCGAAAGGAACCAAATAAACTTTATTTAATGTCGAATGAACTGAATGTCAGCAAAGCGGTTCAATGCACTGGGAAAGGCCTGGGTCTTGTCGTACAGCACAAATTAATAGCAAGAGCACACTTTGTGTATTTGAGAAATTGGCATTGGTTACTAAATAATTTAATGTTTTTAGCAATGATAGGCGTTGGCTCGTTCACATAAGCGAATGATTCCTCAAAAATAAAACCAGGGCTCATTAATTTCAAGAATTATTGTATTTCTCGTGAAGGCTCGTCGACCGGTTTACCGATGAGAGCGAAGAGGACACGGAAGACCCACCAGAACCCAGGAGGAGTGCACCGTCGTTTGGCGGATGAATTTGTGTAGATGACGATGATGATGAAGTCGGAAGTGTGTTTGATGACAAAACATCGGAAAGATTGTTGTGGGCTTCTTTGTTTTGTTGAAAACGGGACAGGGCCAACTGTAAAAATGAAGCGTGTTTTGTACCGTAAGCATTTTTTGTACATTTAGCATTTTGTGTATGAATCGTATGTTTGTACGAGTACGTTTAGTTTTGTTTTTTTTTGTACAACCGTCTACCACAATTCACGTTATTTCAATACTTGCCCTTGATCTTATGATAGATCCTGACATCGATTCGTCAGATTTTGTAGGACTTCTACTAAACATCTTGAGAGGTCCCCTACTTTCTATCATTCTCACAAAATCACCGAGATCGTCTTCTTCTTGAAACGGCCAATATGACTATTCAAATAAGCGTTATAAGCAATCAGTCAGTCAGTCAGTCAATCACAACTAGTCACAATTTAACACCACCCTCCCAAACACACCCACCCACACCCACACCCACACACAAGCTTCCTTTTTTTTCTTTTTGAACGCAATTGATATTCATACCGAAGAAAATGATCCCCGCTCACTGATAGTGTCATCGCTTCGGTTAGTATATAAACTGGATCTCGACGGTCTTCTCCCACCAATTGTTCCATCCTTATCTCTGCTCCCCGACACATTTCCCGATCTTTCATGCCGATTCTTGAAACTAGACGAAAACTTTAGCGTATTTCCACTCGGACTCCCACTACCCGACGACGTTGATTTCACCGACGAAGACAGGGGAACTCCCGAATTACTAACTATTGACAAGGGTCGGCCAGAAGATGGCGACGACGAGTATCGCTGGCCTAACGACACTTGAGACGGAGAGCGATAGAGCGGTGAAGAGGATATACCTCTATCAGAATTCGTGGGCGAAGGCAGGTTATCGGGGGGATGTGACGTTGGGGATGAAGAGAGGGATAAAGCCTTGAACGGATTGAACATGGTTACAGTTGGACGATTTGAGGTTGTCGGAGAGCCCTGTGGATGTAGGGTTTCTCGATGCTATAAAAGGTATGGGAGAAAACGCGTTCAACACACAATTACAATGCCGTAATCAACTAACCAAATGTATCAGCTGCATAATGTGAGACCAACTCACAACGTAAAACACCTCTTGCAACTTACCCCAGACTTTATCTGGCTACCCTCAACTTGCGATAATTTTCTCGCATCGCGTGATAAACCCGAAGTCCCGCTTCCGTAGCCGTAGCTCGGCTGTCTTTGATGATGTGCACTTCTTATAAAGGCCGGATGCTGGCTTGTCTCTACTTCTTGACTCAAAGCTGATGAACTACGTGTTCTCACTAGCGGTACCCCGCCAAACATTGGATCCATGCTGCGAGGAGATTCTGACGTTGAGAGATACGGTGGTGCCTGAAAAAATACGCATAGAAGGGTACGGTTAATATATATAGATTAAAGTATCTTTTTCCGGAATTTGGAAAGAATGTTGGTAACATTTATATAAAAATTCATCGAGAATTGCAATTACGAACATTCATTCTTGTCGGCAAACTGATCCTTCTTTCACTTTGCCTTTGTTCCTCTTCGTCGTCTTGCCGATAATATCTCGCCATAGTAGGCGAAAAATAGTGTTCGTCAATAGAAATCAGAGTCGAACTCAGCACAGCTTCCGAATCATCGTCGATGTAAAAGTCGCAGTTGTTGCGATAGATCACTTCAAGCGAGAACACACTATCATACGTAACATAACGCTGGTGGGTTAGGGAAATTAATGGTTATTTTGATTTAAAAAAGACAAGATGCCGTTTGGGATAAATGAAACGGGGTCATGGGATATTTACCCTAGCGGAGTTTCAATTGGAGTAAATTGATATTCCGAAGTCACTGGACCGGTTATCTTGTCTATTATTGGAACATCTGAGTTAGCGTTAGGGGGGAGGACAAATCGGGAAATATTACGGTTAGTGCATCAGATTATCTCTACGGAATATTCAATTCCCCACGGTTTTCCCTCTTGTGGTACATCCTTTTTTCTCCTAAACCTACTACCTCTCCCAATCCCTTTTCACAAAAACCAAAACAAACAAACAAACCAACAACAAGAATAAAGACCAAACCAAACCAAAACCAAAGACTATCCAAAATAACACATATGATTCAACTCCCACCTATGCCAACGTCATCTCTGGTATTTGCATTTGGCAATACAAACCGATGCCCAATCTTCAAAGACTGTGTCAGTTTCATCGATAGTCTTTTGAATAGTCCGTACATTGGTAGTAATCTCACATACGAGTACAGTGAACGGAAGAAGGTTATGGATTTTTTGTATACTATGGGTAATTCTGCTTGTGAATCGGGTATTGGAGGACTAGAATTTTTGATAAAAGAAAAAATAGTATGGCGAATGAATGTGGCGTATACACTTATATGAAGACAATGCCCACTCTACCAAAACCTTCCCAACACCCTCTCTTCCCGCGTTATTTCCACATTTCTCCATCTTATAACTCTTCGAAACGAACCTCAAAGTCAACGTCCAACTCTCCAACATGATCCTGTCCTTTCTCCTCCTTTTACTATACTCATCGATCTCTTCCACGGTAACACGATGCCTTCCATAAAATTCATCGGCCAGAACAAGAATTTGATCCTGAGCCAAGTCTGAAATGTCCAAATAAAATTGGATCACCATGGGCTGTGGCGGGCTCTGAGACGACACGGCGGTCGTGCGCCAGTATTTGATATCTTCTCTGTATATGTCCGAATCTTCCAGTTCGAGGTTAAACTTGTGAAAGAAAGAAAAGAGTCCAAAACCGACGTAAATAAAATAATGGACGATGAGTTTTTGACAAAACATTCTGGGGACACTTGAAAATATTTACCCATCTGTTGGCTCTCCTCTGGTTCGGGTTATTATTATCATATTCTATTAGACGCGCTTGAGTGATTATCTGCGCTACTTTTGTGTAAAAGTTCTGGAAGAATAAGAGAGGAGTTGGTCATGGGTGAGCATTAGACTTGACTGATAAAAAGAATAAAGATCCCTCTCCCTAGTCACTAATTATCGTATAAGCAGCGATTTGCGCTCTCGAATCTACCGTCTCTTCTGCGCCTTCTGTAACCAACCCTACTTTTCAAAAATTCCAAAACAGTTTCTAACCTGAATGATTTGGTCAGCTCTCGAGCTCCTCTGCTGGGCCAACATGAATAACTATTGTTCCGACAGAGAATCGAAATACTTTTGTTGGTGCTCTGGTTCGCTCACTTCCCTTTCTCGCATGCCTTTTAAAACACTGAACACAGTAAATCAGTCTAACCTTGTTGCATCAAGTAATGATCCCAGAATAGTAAAATAAATATACAAGTAGGATGGAGATTGCCTGGATTAATAGGAAAGAAAAAGTATATAAATCTACAGCCTAATTTATAAGATAAGTTTGCGGAGGGCAGTACAGTAAATTCATCGGTTTTTCCTCTGATTATCCGAACATTCTATTCTGCGCATGGGGTACCGCAAAACCAACTGCGTTACCTGTTTGCCAACCTCCCAACACGCGGAACAAACGTATTATATGTATATGTATGTGTATATATGACGGAATAGAATAAGGACTGGTCGTTCGGTTATGATTTTCTACCTAACCGTCCCAATCGATTTAAAAAAAGTCACGCGTGTGGGGAAGAAGAAGGGGAAAGGGGATTGTTCAATGAATATTATTGTTACTGCTTCGGAGAGAAGGGAATGAATGGTTGTACTCGTGACTGCAAGTCAATTATATATGAGGAAATGATCAACGAGCGGCATACATACAGGACATGCATGCAAAAAATTCTTCTTCTCTAAAAGTCAAAATATTCATTTCAAACAAACGCCGCAACAATCCCCGCTGCAGAAAAAAAAAATACAAATGTTAAGGTGATCTCGTCTTTTTCATATTGTTCAAGATAGTAAATCACCACTCCTAATAGCTCGTTAGTTGAATAGTAATAGGTAGCAAGATATTTAAGCTATACTGCGTATAATAACTTTTAATTAATAAATGGATTTATAACATTTTTACAAATTTACTTGACGCCATAAAGCATATAATGGTTATGCTCCATATACGAAAGAGATACAATCGATTGGAAATCTCACAAATTATAACGAACTAGTTTAGATGTTATGAATACTACTCATATTATGTTTTGTAGTAGTTAAAAATAATTACATTTACCTCATTTACCCATTCAACGATATACAATAAGGTTGTGTGATAGTGTAGTAATAGGCAAATCAAACTGTTATTGCACGTGTGACGTAAATGACGTTTCATGAATTTGTATTCCCACTATTGTCATGGACTTTAACCGATTAAACACTAACCTGATATTTAGTTTATTGTATAATTACCTCTACGCCGTCATTACTCTTTTGGCCCCTAACACTCTGACTTCTAACGAATTTTCATAATAGCCAGGAAAGACAGTAATCTTATTTTCCATTGCTCGTTATTTTATCACAGCAAATCTGCCTGAAACAAGTGTAACATTATGTCGCTAAACTGTAATAATAATGTAAGAGGATGCAGTTAATCAGTGACTTGCATCAAAGCATTCACATATAACAAATCTATTATCATATACTCACGGTCATCACAAGTTAAAGTGCTGGTTGAACATGTTTATTGCATAGAGTAATGGTCCACAACGATGCAACATTTCTTCGCTCACATTACAGTCTGGTCAAAGCAAGTCATAAAACAAAGACCGTCAACATTTTCGATGTCTCGAAACGTCTAATTGCGCATCTCAACTCTGTAGTTGGCAATGGAATTTGCGCCCAGCCTATTACTACTTGTGTGGTAAATGATAGGCATGATAAAAGACTTAATGACGATGTAATGAGATAAATGACGTCAAGCTTATCTGTGAATGTGAAACTTACCACATTCTAAAATTACGATCCGAATGCTTGTTATCTAGGTAGGAACATGTACAACGTCTGGATGTGCTCAGCAGCGACAAATTGCGAAAGCGCCAAGAAAAGTAACATCAAATGTTAATTTATTTTATACTGCTCTTAAAGTACACACCAATGAAAGTATCGCGAATTGGGTGTGTATTAAATTGAGCACCACTTTCTTGCAAAGATATCGCTAAAATTTTTTTGCAGTTTATGGAAAAGACACAAAGAGTTTGAACGGTATTTTGGGTTGAGATGTGGAATAATTTCTTTAATAAGTGGCAAATAAAGGACAAATTTTATTGGGGGAAGGCATTCTGTCTTTGGTTAGTACTTATACAGCAAAAATTTGTCAATTTTAGCTCAGTCTCGCGTCATATAAACAAACAAAATAATGCAATGTTTATAACTGTAAGTCGTTCTTTGTAATTAGTCGTGAAAATAACAGTGAGCGAATCAAATTTAACACTTTAATCGGCCTCTTTCGAGCATTACATTTGTGGGGATATATACATATACAATAAATTTACCAGGTGCGTATAGTATATTCAGTCAGTCGTAATTACTGCACATCTCTTCATAGAATACTACTTTAAGCACGTGGGCGGTCGCATAGATGTACGTAGGGAAACTCGTTAGGTCGGCTGGGGATGGCCGTCCGCTTATCAACGAATCCGACTTATCGTTATTGAGAGGGTTTTAATATGGAAAAGACTTACTTATCGAGTTGATCTATGTATCATAAAAGGTTACACTGAACTACTATAGGAATAAAATAACGATAAGTAGATGAAGTTTAAAATGTCGTTACACTACGTAACACAATTTGGGACAAACTTTGTGCAAAAAATAAAATTTCTCTTAATTCAAACCATGTCGTTAGTTTTTCAGTTGCAACTTGATTCTATTCTCCTATAAGCTTGGACGGATTCCTTACTCGCAAATTACCCCACATACCGTCAAGCCAGATTAGCAACATCCACTACACTGTTAACATTAATGACGATATGGTATTCATTGGATATAGCGAAGAACTTACATCAACACTTTGACAGAATATACCCACTTCTGACACCACTCCACTCTAGTCTGATACTATGTCAGTCAGTATATACAATATTTCAAATGGCTTAACGCACCAACAGACTCTTAATAGGATTTACGGAGCATGGCCGTTTACATTATTGTTCTCGATGTGGATGGACTAGAAACTGAGCAAATCGACGAGTTTATTAAGAACCTGAATTGCGAAGAAACTCGGCAAATGACGCTTATTTGGAATGCGATTATATGGTTTTGGGGAAGAGTTGTATGGTCTACCTACTTCTGATTACGTTGACTCCCGCTTGAAGACGAGACGAATGATTCCTATTATGATAGGGTAAACTATTAAATTATCATTCTTAGTTATGCATTAAGTTTGTTGAAGTGTTTGAATACTTAATGACTTAATTTTACATACAGAAAATGGCAGCTCAGTTCGCCGCCTGGGTATCAGCCTATAATCTTAAATATCGAACAAATTTAGCAGGCCGAGGTTAAACCACGAGCTTTTGGCGTGCGGCGTTACACGATGGTATTCTTATCAATACAATGGATACTATGATTATTGTGTAAGATGATAATTACTGATTGTATTGTTTACTTCAAATATTTTACTGAAAGATATAGGTTCACTCAAGAGCCATCTATTCCACCTTAGCTGTGCTTAATAAAGGACACACAAAATCAAGAGCCATCTAATTACAACTGTAGTGGTCCACTGTAGCTGTGTGCCAAACATAGGTCCCACTAAATCAAGAGTCATCTACCTAAACAGTTCTAGAGGTCCACATTAGCTGCACTTAGTAAAGGACACACAAAATCAAGAACCATCTACTAAAAATCTTACATCTTTCAGTTCCTGTTAGGCTCACATGTAATATATATTTATATACTTAATATTGTGAAAAACCAGCTTTAGAGGTCCACCTTAGCCGTACTTAAGGAAGGTCACACAAAATCAACTATTTAGTGTTCTACCATGACATACTAATGGATGATGAAAGAATTTTGATTTTCATTTCATTGGTGTGTGTTAAAAACAACTCTGTCAGCAGAATAAGCTTGTTGTCTGAAGAGGGATGTTAACTAGCACAATTAATTATATTAAGAACAATCATTAGTGAATTATGGCAGCTCATATAGTAAAATTATGGATGTTCAGTCAATTGCCTTTAATTTGAACCCCTTTAATTCGAACCCCTTTAATTCGAACCCCTTTAATTCGAACCCCTTTAATTCGATTTCGCCGATAATTCGATCGCTTGAGCAAGACCCGAAAAATATTTTTATTATTGTTTTCCTTAAGTACGTCTGCCGTTAATTCGACTTATACGTTAATTCGACCGATGACTCCGGAACGGAGGCGGTCGAATTAAAGGCAGTTGACTGTATCACTGTCAAATGGCTAAAAGTTATATAAACCATCTCTTTCCCATCCCCAACCTCATCTTCAACAGTGAAAGAATTAAAGCAAACAAGCTCAAGTTAGCAATACAACTAATAAAAGTGGATGGTATTTTAAAACCTTGATCAAAAAGTCACCTAGTAACTATCATAAAAACTTTTATTCACAGCAAAGTGCCTGCTAAAGCACTGGTTTAAGCTGTTTTATTCACAATACATGCAGAAGAAGAGAATCTTTATTTATATTGGGGAGAGGGAAAAATGTATCTATTTTTGGAAGTGAAAATGAATGATTGTATTTTATTAAGTATTAAGGTGGATACAGGATCTAGTTATAGTTATTAGTTAGATGTCTATACAGAATCTATGAAATGACAGCAATTCAATTGTCAGCATCTAAAACTTGCGTCTTTTAATAAATAGTATTTCTTCACATATCTGAATGACCAGTTGGGATTGTCTTCAATAACAAATTGATTGTGCTACCTCAAGAACCGTAATTCAGTGCAGTCTTTGACAGAGGTGCACGCCGAAGCAGAATTGAAGACAATAAGAAAACTATCTGAAATAGAACAAATTACGTACATGATGAATATCATTTAATCACTGTATATTGTACAGCAGAGAAAGTATACCTTGGCGTATGTATTTGCGGGATGTTCCTTGCACTCGAGAGTACAAATGCTATATTGAACTCTTTTTTTTCAATAAAGTGCCCTATACAAAGAAAAGGCTATGGAATAAGGGAATTGTTCAACTATCGCATTATTATTATTTTAATATTGGAGAAATATATTTTTTTATCCAGCGAG